TTCTCCAACAGGGACCTCGATGACTTGGCCACTTTATGTTGTCACCCTCACCTTACGTTCCTCTTTATTTTTCTGCATTGAAAACGTGCCAGCCCCAAACCCAGGGACAGGAGATCCTCACACTCATTCTTCAGCTCCTCGACTATAGGGCACTCCCACCTGCCTCAGCTCAAATGCCACTCAGTCCTCTTCTCACTGATGACACTGGAGTGCTGGTTCATGACCACGACACTCTACCTTTCCCCCATGGGGTTGACCATGGCATGTCGTTATAAATTCCTTTGGCTATTTTTTTTTTACAATTATTATTGGTTGTGCTTGTACTTCTACTGTAAGTTCCTTGAGGAACAAAGACAGAGCATCCTTCTCTTGACCATCTTCCATTCAGACACTGACATTTCACTTCACACAGAGTAACTGCATATAAATGTTTGTAAAATCCATGAATGGAATAAAAACTATCTGTACCCAATGAGAGGAAAACATGACATATGAAAATATGACATATGAAGTTAGCACCTCGGATAATCACAAGTAAACTCCTTACAAAAATTCATAATTTGGAAACCACTTAATTTCAACCACAAGACAACAGTTTTCCATAATGGTAAGAAAAATATGACCACAGCATTAAAGTTGTAATAAAGACCACAACAGAGAGAACTCTAATGAGAAAAGGTACATGCACCCCAGTGTTCACAGCAGCACTATATACAATAGCCAAGACTTGGAAGCAGCCTAAATGTCCATCGACAGATGACTGGATAAAGAAGCTGTGGTGTATTTATACAATGGAATACTACTCTGCCATAAAAAAGAAAAATAATGCCATTTGCAGCCACATGGATGGACCTGGAGATCACTGTTCTAAGTGAAGTAAGCCAGAAAGAGAAAAATACCATAAGATATCACCCATACATGGAATCTAAAAAAAGAAGGGGAAACAATCTTATGGTTACCGGGGAAAAGGGGTGGGAGAGGACAGATTTGGGAGTGTGAGATTTTCAAATGTTGGCCACTGAGTATAAAAAAGGATTTTTTAAGAAGTTTCTTTGGTAGAGCACAGGGAACTATGTTCAATATCTTGTAATAACCTTTAATGGAAAAAAATATGAAAACAAATATATGTAGGTATATGCTTGACTGGGACACAGGGCTGTACACCAGAGATGGATACATTGCAATTGACTGTACTTCAGCTTTCAAAAAAATGACTATGTATAAAATCCAATGTAACGTATTAGAAATGACAGTGAATGGCGTTTGGGTAATGTTCAATCAATGTAAGTAAAGATGAGCAAATGTGAATGCTTACTGAGCTAATCAAAGCTGAATGACTTCCGATTCCCTACATCCTGAGACTAATTCCCCTTCATCCTGTGTTGTCCACTAGGAGTTTAATGCTTAGCTATGTTGCCTGGGTGAAAAGGAGAGCTTGCTAGTATCTCTACAAGCTCTCATATTATCACTGAATTATTCCATAGAGCACAAGGAGACAGCAGGTGTTCAATGAATCACTGCGAAATTGAAAGATACGGGAATTGAGGGATATTTTTATTTAAACTGAAATCGCCTACCAATGGTAACAGAAGTCACATGTCTACAAGTAGCATGTAATTAATTTCTGCTTTTGTCTGCCTCCCCATGTATTCACCCCAGGGGTATAAGAAAGAGAAAAGTGGGTGAAGTGTGGGAAACAGGGCTGCCCACCCCCCATCCAAAAATAAAGGGTTGGTGGGGCGGTGGGGGTAGGTTGAACAGCATGGGAAACCATCCACACCAACATTTCAGTAAATAAAGGCAGTGAAGAAACAGTGATGTCAAAGAGCCTCCTTTAGAAAGAGTCCAACATGGCAAACTCAGACATGCTTGCCGGGAGACCACGGAGGAGACGGAGAAAATGCCTTGGCTTCAGACGTGAGCAAGCAGGAGGCTGACCTCACTTGGCCACTTAACCACCGTGTGCCCCAAGTTCCTTTTCTGTAAAAGGAAGATAATTAATGAGACCGTGGTGGTCCGTATCAGGCACCATGGGCTTGCAAGTTGGTGAACCAAGGTGACAAAAGATCTGAGAATAACCTGAACAGGACACAGTAATATTCCCCCAGCCCTACACTAAGATCAGCTCTCCTGGAGCCATGAAGCTGGGATGTGTTCTGCTAACCTAATTTTAGTCTTTGCTTTGTAAGTATTTCTCATAATCTTATGGATGAGCTAAACTTTTAGTGTTTGGTCTTCCCATATCCCACTATTGATGCATAAATCAATATGTGGATAGAGTATACCATTAATATATGATTATACATTCCATTCAATGTATTTAGATCAAAGCTAAATAAAACTATTTTCATCTTAAGGATTCCGGTAAGGTACCAGGAATAATGGAGTATAAGGTCATTATCACATACCTGAGATGGGAAATCAGGCAATAATTATAATGCCTTATCTTTATCTTTCGACTTATTTTTGCCCTCTTATTTTGATTTTCCCTTATCACAGCCTCATTTTTAGACACGTAAAAGTTGTTGATACAATTCAATGAAGGTGCATACTCATTCCCATAAAACACCAAGTTTATGCTGATATTCGAGGGGATATAAAAATAACAATATAATCTTTTTTCCATCAATGGTGGTGAAGATTTTAAGAGTCAATCCAAGAGCATCTTTAGGAACTTTGTAAACAAACACCAGCATCTTATAACCTTATAACCTTGAAGTGAGTGAAAGATTTAAAGCAGGGTTTTCGTAATAGATGGTGCATTTCTGAGCAGGGGCTCATAAACGGGGATGATTTTGACCCACAGAAGAGATGTGACAATATGTGGAGACGTTACTGGTTTTCAAAACTTGAGGTGGGGGTTCTACTGGGATCTAGTGGGTAGAAGGCAAGGATGGTGATAAAGATTTTCCAATCCACAAATCATACCCAGGCTTACATGTCAGTAGTGCCAAGGCTGAGAAATCTAGTCACAAAGGGAAGACAGAGAGGAGGGAAGGAAGGGAGGGAGGAAGGAAGGAAAGAGGGACGAAAGAAAATCAGCTTGGTATTATGATAGTCTGATATATGTAAAAAGACAGATCATTTATTCCTAAAAGTAACTCTGGGAACTAGACATTTTTGTCTCCATTTTACTGCAAGGGCATTAGCAATACCTTAAGAGGTTAATGACTTGCCCCAGATATCACAGGTTCCAAGATTCTACCACGGGGAAGCCTTCTGTTTACATAAGGCGAGAATAAGGGGGCAGTGACTGGACGTTCTCAGCTTCATTCACAAGGTCCCCGCTTACGTCCCCCGTCTTCCGTGCCACAAAATGGAACCCTCGTGAAAGGAATACACATTTTCATACATCAACATAGCAGGATCTGGTTCTTAAAAATGCCCGTTCCTTACAGAACATTAAAGGGGATTCTGTTCCTGGTCAGGAAGCTGCTCCCAGAAGTTGGGCGTGACTCCACATCAATACTGGATGAGTGTCACCCACACACACGCACAAATGAAGTTACCGTTTGAACGCTGGTTTTCTTCTCATCCTCCTGTTTAGGATTAGTATGCACCATTACAACATGCGGCTCTAGTCCTGCCAACTGTATAATGCTGTCAAATCCCTTTACATGAAACCTATTCTCTCATGGACCTGTGTTATAGAGTGAGACAGTCCAATTCTCTCTGGGAAAAAAAAAATGTAATTGGCTTGTAGGAAACAGTATACGGGGACTGGATTTCACAACCGGATAGGATAAACATCACTATTTCCTCCGTTCCTTCCCTACCTCTTTCCTACCTACCTTCCTTCCTTCCTTCCTTCCTTCCTTCCTTCCTTCCCTTTGTCCCTCTCTTTGTTTCTCCTTCTCTTTCTTTCTTGATATGGTGAAACTTTCTGAAAGGAAAAGCTTCCACTTACACCAGCAGCAGATAAAGCAGCACGCTGAGAGACCCCTCTCTATAGTACAGCTGCATCTGGATTAAGACGTATTGGTGGTGAGTTTCCAGGCTTACCCACCTAAGGGAAATAGCCCAGGTGGATGCTCCCCCACCAGCGTGAGCTAAAGGACACCTGAGTGTCCTCAGTAATGAGAAAACTGGAAAAGGGGATTGGCCGTGAGAGAGGAGGTCCATGGTTACAGTCATATCAGGGCATGAGAGCAGACACCTGAGGGTAACCAATCAGCAAGACAGGGGACACTCCAGCAAGGTGGAGACGTTGGACCCCCACGTGGGCTCAAATCTCACACTCCAGTCAGGAGGACGAGCAAACCTGTTTGGGGAAAGGATCCCCAACACCGAGTCCTGAAAGTTCCCACAGATTAAGATCAAGCAAACATGAGCTCACAATCAGAGATCACTGAGCACCAGAGCATGGAGATTTTTAAAGTACTGTATATAAAATGTAAACAGCCATGTAAGAAATGTTGAAAGAGATAAAGGATGGAAGATAAACAGAGAAGCGAGATACAGGAAA